GTAAAAACATTTGTTTATTTTCTCGACATTTGACACGTTTTGTCTATACTAAACGAATAAAAAACATTATAACTAAACATTTAAAAAAGGTTATAAAATATGCTAATATTTGATTTTTTTTTTCTCAAATATATAATTTAAAGTTTTTCAAATAATTATTTTTTCTTTTTAAAAAGTCAGCAAGTAATAAACTGGAAATTTTAATATTGTACGATTAAAAACTATGCAACAGCTAATATTTTTACTAGCGATTTTATATAATATTTTTTTATTTTTATTTATTTTCATAAAGCGGTTGATAAGCACAATCACTTGTATTACTAAAAAACTTTAACGAACGTTTTGAATAGATTTTTAATGTTTACAAGGAATTTTATTTTTGGGTAAAATAAAATTCAATAAAATGTTAGAATAAAAATCTTATAGGTATAAAAGACATATTTCAGCCAAAAAATTGTTCTTAAAAATTATTAGAAAAACTATTGACGTTCTATTTTTCAGCAGCTGATCTTGAGCACGCTTCGTTGAGTTTCGGTAACTTTTAACAAAAAAGCGATTGTTATTATTTAAGTAATTTTTTTCGAGTTACTTTTTACAAAAATTTTAATAGCTGTACTTTTTTTTATTGAATCAAGTAGAATACGTTTTAATGTTACTCTTTTTATTTTTTTTTATTTGCGCTTACCAATTTTAAAAATGTTTCCTCGAAATTACTCTTAAATACTTTAAATACCTCTAACAGTTAATAAATATTTTTAAATCTATGGAATAATTTAAAACCCCAATAAAATAATTATTTAAGTTAAATATCTAAAACTAAAAGAAAGTATTTTTGTTCAATTTTATCGACAACTTTGCTATTGCTGAATAATTTTACTAAAATGTTACCTTAAAAAGATTTAAACTTTTTTTTTTATCTGAATTTTTTCTTCTTGTAAATAATGACCATATTTAATTTTTTTGTAAATCAAACTTTTGTATCAACTGCGTGCGGTTATTAAAATACTTTATTAAATGTTAAAATAATCGTAAATTACTTCATTAAAATTCCACTCAAAAATATCTTTAAATATACTCAAACAAAAAGTTTTTTGCTTGACGCAAATAGCCCTGCTACACGCAAAATCGCTCTTGGACAACGTAAAATTCACATCGCCCGACGCTTTATCGCAAGGCCTGTAAAACCCATACCATAAGCAAAAACTGATGAATGGGAGTAATACAATCCCATTTTGTGAGGCAAGACCTGAGCTAGACCTGAGCTAGACCTAACACAGAGCTATAACTAGTGAAACAAGCTCTAACTATATATTAACTATATAGAAATTTTAAATAGTATTATTTACTTAGTAGTAACTATTTAAAAAAACACAGTCAACACAGTTATAACTATTTAAAAAGTATTAAAATCAAAAACCAAGAGACCTGAATACAAATTATCAGATATAACATACACAAAAAATTCTTAAAATTACTCACACTTGATACCAGACCTACGTTATAATTATTAGGTTATATAGCAAACACAGCAAGAATTACACTGATGTATGTAGCATATTTTTATAACATATGTATTCTTGGTTAGAATATACTGAACTGTTTTAAACTAGATAAGTTTAAACAAAACTATTGTCAGCTACACTGAGTTATTTCATTGCAATTGTATTTTTTTCATTTGAAGTTAGTCTTGTTAGATTTCTCATTTCTATTAAGTTTTTTCCATCTGATGTTGCTAAGTTGATTTGATATAGTTTGCTCTATACAGACTTCACTATTGTTTTTATATTGTTGTTTTACCAACAATATTGTTTTCAACCTGACATTTTTCAGTGTTTATAAGTAAAAATCACTTTTATTGTCTTATTTGTTTATTTTCTCAATATTTTCTGCCTTTTGATTTAATGTTTGTATTTTTTTATCTCTTTCTAATCATTTTTTAATTACTCTGAGTCTTTTTTTCTTTACTTATCAGGTAAGATTTTTATTTTTCATACTATTGGAGTTACCATGGTTATTCTCTACCATACTTTCTAATAACTACTTTTGTACTAACCACAAACCATCTTATCTAAACTTTGATGTTTATGAGTGGTTATTTACTTGTTATATTTATAAGACATATTACAGTCATAAAAGAAATAATAAGTTACTTTTGACTAATAATTACTATTTTCTATTTGCTTTGTGTTATTTTTACACATATTACAATTGTTTATTTTAATATATGCGTATATGTGTATGTGTATACATATGTTTCTCTAAGTATATTTGTATATGATATTGTCTAGGTATTGGAATATTTATTCATGTCCACATCCTGCTTACGAGATCTCTAAGAATGTTGGAGCTGTACTAAAAACTGAGATTTTTTAGTCTAGTCCTATTATTGTAATACTGACTAGCATGACATAGAGTGCAGGTGGTGAGATCTGTTGTAAGGACATCCCCATGTAGAGTGGCATTAGTGCAGTTCTTAAGCTCTTCAAAATGTCATTGGTAATTGCAGTGCATTCCTAAGGAGAGTGTTAACCATTCATCTACTACTTAACTCTAATTGGTCATTATAGCACCAACATTTTTTCACCTATAACACCCATGGTTTTTAATGATTTGTTATGTTTATATTATATATTTGTAATACTATTGATATTCATATATCCTGCTGCGATACAGGTGGTAATAAGTTTTTAATGTATAACCATGTTTTATACTACATTAATAAACAACATTTTTTTACATACACATATCGACATTATAACTTAGTGGATTTGTGGGCAGCATCAGAAGTGGAGGATTCAGAGTTTGAACCATATAGGCGACACATTTTTTTTTTTTTTTTAATCTAAACTGTCAGTTACTATTATTTTTTCTACAAATTTATTTTTAGATTTATATCGTCTTGCTAACTCAAAAGCCATTATTTTTTTGTCAAGGTTTGTTTCAGAGTTATAGAGTTGAGAGAGGGTTGTAACTACAACAAAAGTAGCCTCCTTGATGTAGTCTTTAGTGAAGTCTTGTGGCCTACTAATTACTAATGTGTGCATTCAATCAATTGAAATCCATTCTGTAGGTCTTATGTCTAACTCTGAGTGTGTTTAGCTATTCTATTCACCTGATTTGAAAGTGGAAGATGACGTAACGAGACTATACCAGACAACCAAACGGAACTTACTAATGCACCACACATTCACACCTTAGACATAAACACTCTATTATTTAAACAGTCTATAAATAGTCTAATATCAGTAAGTTGAATATTTGTTCTTTATTATATACTTTTGTTCATAGCCTTTTTTTGATCTTGTCTTTGTATATTTTTTCAGTTTTGTGTTGCTGTGTGTATGAAACCAGATATTTGTGAGAAGCCTAGTTGTGAGAAAACTTGGTACAAACAAATTCCATCAGACATATAAATAATTGTCTACTGAAGACAGCCGGTTAACTGGGATCTGAGGAGTGGTGGCACTTTTCAAAATGTGTTTATATGTTTTTTACTTTTCTGAGTTTTTTACTTTTGTGTCTATTCCCTAATATCTAATTTGGTTTAGTAAATGTCTGTTTGTTTGTGATTTTGTGTGTTTGCACTTGGCGTGGATGGGGCATTTACAATTTGTGTCAAGTAGTGCAGGCATATTGGATAATACACATGTGCAGTTGTGGATGTTATTTGGGGAGTGAGAAGAATAGTGCTGAACTGGAATACTAATTGGTGGCGACACACAGTATTAATACTTGGGGTCCATACCATAGGCTTAAGCAGATTGGTGGTAGCAGAGCATTTTCATGATGCAAGATAATCAAGAAGCTTCCTTAGGTTAGACCTCTGAATACTTTGTCTTTGATTTCAAACACCCCCTTATACGGGGGTGTTTGAAATCAAAGACAAAGTATTCAGAGCAAAGAGATGGCGTTATGCTGGATAATACATGTGCAAAAAATGCTAAAGGTCACTCGCACTTCACACTAGACCTCCATTGTATTTGTTAGGCTGGATAGCAGGTATGGCACAGATGCTGAGCTGTTCTGCTGGGTAGGTTTGACCAAAATCTTTGTTGACTGTGCTGAGTTGTTTGTTGCAGTTGTGTTTTTTTTATTTAAAGACAGTTTTATTAGATTTTTCATTTCTACTTAATTTTCTTGATATTATGTTGCTAAGTTAATTAGTTGTGGTTTTCACTAAACTTCAAATTCTTTTATTTTGTCAACAATTTTGTTTTCAACCTGACGTTTTTCAGTGGTTAAAAGTGCTATTAGTAAAAACTGCATTAATTGGCTCATCCGTTTATTTTTTACTATTTTCTGTCTACTGATTAAGTCGTATTTTTTAAACTTAAATTCTCTCTCTCTCTCTCTCTCTCTCTCTCTCTCTATATATATATATATATATATATATATATATATATATATATATATATATATATATATATATATATATATATATATATATATATATATATATATATATATATATATATATATATATATATATATATTTATATATATATATATATATATATATTCATGTATATATATATATATTTATGTATATATATATATATATTTATGTATGTATATATATATATTTATGTGTATATATATATATATATATATATATATATATATATATATATATATATATATATATAATTTAAATTTAAAATACATGACTTTTTATGAAACTTTATGTTTCATGCAGTTAGGCAATCATTCAGCTATATTTAAAAAACACAAAAATAAAAACTGTAATAAAAAAATAAATTTTGGTTTTCAACAAGATCTAATGTTTTAACATCAAACAAGAAAAAAGAGGAAGTCATAAAAGTTCTAACCACTACCAAAATTGAGAACAACATTTTACTTTTCTTGATTAGCCATATATTTTAAAAATAACATTTTTTTAAATTTTAATTTACAATTTACATAGTGCCGTAAAATAAAAAGTAGTGTTTTTAGTTTTTACCATATTTTGTAATTTGTAGATTTTGTAAATATTATTTCAGAATTTAAATACGGAAACATGGAAGATGGATTTTCAGAAAAGATAATGTCACAAACTAAAAAACCGTTTTATTTTCCACATTGGTTTTTATACATCTCTTGGATCATTTGCATTACAACAATTTTAGGATTAGGATATGTTATACTACTGTATGGAATGGCATTTGGTAATAAAAAGTCATTGGATTGGTTAACCAGCATTTCTTTAGGATTGGTTAGTCTTTGAAATTTTTTGATAAATATAGTGAAAATGTTTTTTTAATATATATATATATATATATATATATATATATATATATATATATATATATATATATATATATATATATATATATATATATATATATATATATATATATATACATATATATTTATATATATATATATATATATATATATATATATTTAATATGTAAGTTGATTTTAATAAAAAGGCAGCGTATAACTATTTTTAAATATATTTTGATGTAAAAATATATCAACGATATTTCGCTGACCTATTGTGGTCAGCGTCATCAGGTAATAATAAAAAACGTTACAAAATAACATAAAAACAAACCGTTTAAAAAGAAGACATTAAAAAGCATCAAGTATAAAAACCAATTAAATATAATAATGACGTCAGTTAAATTTTTGTCAAAATGGGTCCCCAAGTTCTTGTTTTAACCTTATCCCCGTCATCTCGATTTAGAACACCTTCCCCAATACCTATCTCACATCGAACGTTCGCTTTGTTAATCTCCAGAGATTCTCTAATTTTTCGTATCTTGTATTCTTGAACGACTGCCAAGGTCTTAGGATTTAGCCAATCAAAGTTACCACGGCATGTTTTGGAATGTTCCGTGGCTCCTGAACTCGACCATTTTTGATTTTTGCAAGCTCTTTGGTGTTCTGCACTTCTTGAAAGGATTTTCTTTTTGGTCTCACCAATATATATATTTCCGCATGAGCATTTAAGTTGGTAAACCCCCGGATTTGAGTTCGGAGGTAGTTTAGTTTTGTTGTTGCATAATATATTACTTAAACTAGGAGCTGAAGTAAATATAACTCTGATGTTTTGTTTTTTAAATTCTCTTCGGAGTTTTGGGCCAATAATAGGTATCCAAGGTAGTTTAACAAACTTTTGATCTAACTGATTAGATGTAGTATTTTTTGAAATGCCGTCTAAATAGTTTTTGGTTATTTTAATAAGATTATTTTTATTATAGCCGTTTTCAAAAAATGTATTTATGAGGAAATCAATTTCTTGTGAGAGATTTTTTTGAGAGCAGATTTGTTTTGCTTGACATAAAAAACCTTTAAAGACGCCAATGGTTATGCTCGGGTTGATGTTGGAGTTTGGTTTTATTTGAACATTTGTTATCGCATCCTTACGGTGTATTTGAAACTCATAAAATCCATTAATTGTATTTGTAATACAAATATCTAAAAAATTAAGTTGTTTTCTTTTGTTTTCAAGTTCAACGGTATATTTTATGGAGGGGTTTTGTTCATTTAAAGCTTTAAGAAATAATTCTTGCTTTTCTTTTGAATCGAAGCGAGCATGGCTATCATCCACATATCTTTTATAAGTTATTGGTTGGAATGAATTAACAAAGGCTATATCAAGTGCTCTTTTTTCTATATTTTGCAAAAATGCTTCAGCTATGACTACCATCAATGATAAACCAATTGGACCTGAATTAGGTAAAATTCGGATTTTATCTTCGTATAAAAAGTAACATATGCTTAACAATAGTTCAATTAATTGGTGTATATCTATGAGAGTTAATTTAGTCCTAGTTTTTAAATCTTCAAGATCATCGTTCAATATGTTAATAATAACAGGAATTGCTTCATTGATCGGTACGGATGGATATAAATTAATTACATCGAAAGAAACCTGAATTTCATTAGGGTCTATCTTCCATTCTTTAGCATCGTTGACAAAGTTTCTTGAATTAATTAGTCGAGTTATGTTTTTGTTTAATGTTGGTTGGATAATTTTAACCAGATACTCAGATATTCCATAAGGAGGTGTGTTAATAGTGGAAACAACAGGACGCATTGGGTAGTTTTTTTCCGGTTTGTGTGCTTTAACCATTCCATAGATTCTAGGTGGAACGCAATCTGATGGATACATTTTAAAATAAGTAGCATTGTCTAACTTACCTTGTTTTCTTAATTTACATAATAGTTTTTGAAATTTAGTAGTGAATGTGGGTGTTGGGTCGTAATCAATAATTTTACTATTTTTTATTTGTACTTCTAATTTCGCTTTTGCTTCATTTTCGCATAATAAAGCAAAACCTGTTCCTTTGTCAAACGGATATATCTTTAGATGTGAATGTTTTTTCAGGTTTTGTAAAGAAAGGCGTTGTTGTTTTGTTAAATTATCTTTTATTTTTAACTTTAAAGAACTGGTTAGAATTTCGGAACAGTTTTGTCGAAGAATCTCTGCTTGTGTTTGTTTATTTTGTTGTTCGAGTTCCAAGGCGCAAGTTTCAATATTAGTGATTATGTCCATATAAGGGATGTTCTTTTGTATTGGGACAAATTTTGGACCAAGATTAAGTAGTTCAGTAGTTGCTTTATCAAGATTAATATTTGTTAAATTTAGTATAGCTGGTTTTAAAATTCGGTTAGGACGATTTTTTTCAAAATTGATTTTATAACTGATGTCATTTTTCAATTTATAGAATTTTTCTTTCATTTTAGTTTTTTTTAAAGAATAATGGTAGTTCTTAGATTTGTTCGTTACATTATTAATTATCTCATAGTCATTAGATCTTATTTGAGATTGAAGATATAAATTTAATTCATCAATTAACTTCTTACTTAAATATAATCTTTCTTTATATATATATATATATATATATATATATATATATCGTTATACGATATATATATATATATCGTATAACAAGAAATGACTTTTAAAGATATATATATATATATATATATATATATATATATATATATATATATATATATATATATATATATATATATATATATATATATATATATATATATATATATACACACTTTATAAATTTTTCTTTAAAATTGATTACTGTTAAAAATAATAAATTGTACAATTTTATCTGTTGTTAAATGATGAGTGAAAGTTAGCTAAAAACCCAGAAAAAAGAACTGATCATTTATGTGTTGAAAAAGCAGCAGAGCTGCGAATGTTTAAAGAATACCTAGGTATTTTTGAGTAAAGTAATAAGTATTAGTGATTGCAGTATTTAGAGCGAATAAGAATCTGTTTGGATTTCTGCTATTGGTGCGATGTAATTTAGTGGTTATTGGATGGTTTGTATATATATATATATATATATATATATATATATATATATATATATATATATATATATATATATATATGTATATATATATATATATATATATATATATATATATACATATATATATATATATATATATATATATATATATATATATATATATATATATATATATATATATATATATATATACATATATATACATATATATATATATATATATATATATAATGTTGTTTTAGTTTGTACATATGTGTCTATATTTGTGTGTATGTGTGCACATATATAAACAATGTACATATACATTTAAAAAAATTTAATTTAGAGTTTAAAAATTGATGTTATTTGTTTTTGTTTTTTTGTTTAGGAAAAATTTTCTTAAAAGAATAAAAACTCTGAAAACAACCGAAATTACCTTTTTAAAATCTTTCTTAATTTTGTATAGAATAAAATTCCAGATTGAATCAATTTTAAATATGTTTGAACTTCATAAACACCTAAGAACATGTTATGTGACAATATATATGGATATAATTAATTTTGGCTACATTTTTTTTATAGAAACATTGTTTTTATCCAACTATTAATATGCTATGAAGCACATGACATATAACAGTATTGAATCAAAATTAATTTCTAAATAAATGCTTAAACTTCAAAATAGATGAAAAAAATTTTAAAATATTTGCTCGAGTATACTTTTGTTTATAAATTTTTCTAATGCATCAAGTGTTGAACAGTGTTAATTTATATTAAATATCAAATCAAAATATACAACAAAACCAAATAATTTATACTAAAATAATGTTTTTATATGTGGCTTTTTCATGTTGTTTTCTAAAACATATCAAAATATTTTAAGATATTTTGTAATGTATTAATATGTAACTTTTTAATATACAACTTCTTTTTAATATTTAAAAAAAATTAAATAAAATTACTAAAAATGATATTAATTATAAAAATAAAATTGATTAAATTTAAAAAATATTTATTAACACTACGAATGGCTTCCAGTTGCCTCTTCTACTGTCATACCTAAATAAGGAATAAGTATTAAAACTTGTTTAAACCACATATATATATGTGTGTGTATGTGTGAGTGTGTGTGTGTGTGTGTGTGTGAGTGTGTGTATATAATTATAATCTATACACTCATTTATTACTCCCTATAAGAAACAGGTTCAATGACAAAAAAAAGTCTCATGTTTAATTGTGTTTAAATGTCTCTGTTCAAATACCTTTTTGGAATTATAATGATTTCTACTTTTAAAAAAAACAATTAGAAAACAAAAAAATGATTTTTGTAAAAATATTACAAGTCCAGTATTTTTCCTTACATATGCAATAAATATTATATTAAAACATGAAAAATTAAGAAAAATAAAAGTTTTTAGAGCATGCAGAGACAAATAAAGGAAACATAAGAGACTTTGATGATACAAACAAAAATGAGTTTTATATGATGGAACTATAGATAAGGCCATCGCTTTTGATGTTTCTAAAGCATTTGATAAAGTTTGGCATACTGGTCTTCTCCATAAACTTTCTTCTTATGGTGTATCTGGAAACATCTTAACGATTATTGAATCCTTTCTTTCAAATCGTAGTATAAAATTTGTCCTTAATGGACAGCACTCTTCTTCTTATTCTGTAACCTCAGGGGTTCCTCAAGGTTCAATTCTTGGCCCTAAACTCTTTTTAATTTACATTAACGACCTTCTAGATATGCTCACATCTAAGGTGGCACTTTTCACCTATGATACTATCATTTATTCTTATCATGATAAGAAGCCAACGTTCTCTGATTGCTTGGAGCTTGAAAAAGATTTCACTTCTGCTACAGCAGAAGTGAAATCCTTTAAAAGCTCAAATGGGGCTCACAGTGGCTGAGTAATTCAGATATAACTCAATTTTTTTC